TGGCTTTTAGTAATGACTTTGTTTGCCTCTAGGTGTTCGTTGATTCATTGTTTGATTATCTTTTCCAGGATCTTCCCAGGTATTGAGGTCAGGCTGATAGGTCTGTAATTTCCTGGATCCATTTTTTTCCTTTTTTGAGGATGGGAACTACATCAGCTCTTTTCCAGTCCTCTGGTAGTTCCCCTGTGTTCCAGGATCTTTGAAAAATATAGTTCAGTGGCTCTGAGATCACATCTGCCAGTTCCTTGAGAACTCTGGGGTGTAATCCATCTGGTCCTGGCGATTTGAACTCATCTAGGCTGGACAGGTGCTCCCTAACCATTTTCTTGCCTACCTTAACTTGTGTTTCTGTTTTGTTTTTTATGGCACTATTTTTGATAGGTTGGTCTGTTTTTTCCCTTTGTGTAAAGACAGATGCAAAAAATGAGTTAAATAGTTCTGCTTTCTCCCTGTTGCTTGTCACCTTCTTGCCACTTCCACCCACTAATGGACCAATCATTTCCTTCACTTTTTTCTTGTTTTTTACATCTTGAAAGAAGCTTTTTTTGTTATTTTTGACTTCAAATATCGAAAAGGAGGACATGTAGGAGGACACTTTTCGAGGGAGGACAGAACTCACGAAAGGAGGACTGTCCTCCCTAAAGGAGGACGGTTGGTCACCTTAGCCATAACTCAAATCTCATTAGGCTGGAACCTGATTTTTTCAACTGGGTTAAGAGAATTGCCCTAAACCTTACCCAGCACAATAATCGGCAGGCCCTGAAAATTTTAGTTAGATTTCCCTGACTCATTCCGTACAGCAGGATCCCTTTAATCTACAACAGGGGTCCCCAATATGTGGGCTGCAGCCTGTTCATAACTGAGCTGCATGAGTGGTGGGCCAGCATACACACACACGCAGCCCCATTCACCCAAGTGGCCTGCGTGCCTGCCTGTTCACACAAATGAAGCTGTGCACGCGCATGGGCCTGTCCTCACACAAAACCATCCCCTCTTCCCTTCTCTCCTCACCCACTCCAGGCCGCCAACCCAGAAAGGTTGGGGAACGCTGATCTAGAACATTCTGGGTTTTTTTTGTTTGTTTTAGAACTTTTGCATATACCTACATCTGGATCTAACCCATTGATTCAAGGTGCTTATAACAGCCTAATCCATTGGTCTGACCTGTTGGGGGGGGGGGAGGGTTGGCAGGCATGAAAGCAGGTAATTTGTCTCTCTGTTTCCTTTCCTGCTTCCCTCTTTCTGACATTTCTTTTCAGGCCTCCTTCTCTCTGTTTGTGCTTGCCAGTGTTTGAAGCAGATTGCTTGTGGAGAACTCTTGGAATCGGTCCAAGGGCTGTATATAGCTTTAGAACTGTCCAGCTACCCAACCTAGTGTATAGTTTACATGCTCAGTAATGCTGGAACTCTCCTTGTTTTCTTCAAACTTCACTTCTTCCTCCCTTTTCTTCTCACTATATCATTGCCTGTTTTGGTAATGGGTCATTCAAATTCCTGCGTGCATTTTGACCTCTCTGCTTCCTATGATGTTGAGATTGACACACTGAAAGGCAGATATTTATAACAAGTGGGAAAATGCACAAAGCAGGAGCGTGCATTTTGTTGCAGTGTGTTTATAAAGGAAAAATCCACAACTGATTCAAAATAGTAAAAGCATATAAACTCAATCACGGTATAGACAATTAAAAACAAAGAGACATAGAGTTTATTCTGAGCATAAAAATGGCACATGAACATTTTGAGTTAATGATAAATATGAAAACAAAATCCAGCATATAGAATAAACTCACAATTTACAGGAAAGCAGAGGATGGTGGGTATATCTACTTTTTTTGGGGGGGGGGATGCTCAAGAATAAAATTAGACAATGTACTGGAGAAATAAAGAAGAGATAATCCAAGGGAGGAATACAATGGCAATTATAAACAAGATCATGAAAGACCAGGATACTTTTAAAACAACAAATATCAGAATGGTATTTTTTTTAGTGTTAATATATAGTTATGGACGGTGGATTTTGAGAAGGGCTAAAAGAAAGATGCTTTTGAATTGTAGATTTGAAGATAATTCCTAAAAGTATCGCTGAATCCAAGATGAAGTTAACATTGATTGTTGCCTTTAAGACGTGAATAGTAAGCAGGGGTTAGCATAATTTTGTTGATGGGCTAGAAAAAAATTAGCAAGGTTGAGAGAAGTCAGAGAGGAAGACAGTGAATAAAGGGGAGGTGGATAAATCAATAGGATTGCAAGAATATCTCCATATTTTTAGTTGGAATAGGGCAAGTTGAAAGGCATTTGTTAAACAGGCAGAATTAAGACCTGACTTGGTGGCACATCACTAACTGCAGTTTCCAGAGAGAGAAGTGAAGGCTATTATCCCAGATAAGTCTCCACAAATTGGATACTACTTGATATTATGGGGTTTCTGATGCACTTACATAGCAAAAGATCACATTACATTTATGCACAGACTCACACTTCATTACCTAAAAACCCCCAGAGCCTTGGCAGTGAATTTAATCCTGCAAGTTAGAGTTAAGAGTGCAAGCAGACTACATTCCGTTACATTAGTCAATGAAATACTAAAAAAAAATATAGCAGACTAAAATATTTTTTCCAAGCAAAATCAATAACTATGATATTATTTTGAAATATAATCACCAAGGACCACAGATGGAAAAATAGTTTTCTTTTAAAAATGTTCCAGAACTGGTGTGGAAAAAGCTGCAATGATTTTGAAAACATATTGCTACAGATTGCCAAACGATTTTTGTCTTGGCAGGTTAAATGCCCTTGGATTTCAGATAAATGAGGTGAAAGATATATATTAAAATAATATCCTCCTTTTGTCCTTAATGAATCTTGTTACATTAGGTAGAATAGTAAATTTCAGAATACTTTTTGATTTTTCCTTCTTTTGCTGTTTGCTTTTAACACACACACACACATTAAGAGTAACATTAAAAATGAAGCTATTCTTGCATAGATAAAATATTCTATCAAGGCGCAGTCAGTGGGCTGGTTCTCACCAGTTCTGCTGGCTTTCTTCAGTGGAGCATTTTTAAAGAAACGTTTTAGCACTCACTTTAATGAGAACACAAACTAATGGATGTTTCAGAATTGCTTCATTTGTAAGCTTGCTTTAAATTATTATGTAATTACCTTATGGAATAATCTTGGGCTATCAGGGAGTTTCTAACCTTTGAAATTTAACTTAATTCTTATTAACTAAAGGTGAATACATACGTATGCTACAAATGTAATATTAAGGAATTGACAATCCCCACGCAGAACTGATTAATCTTTTTAAAATATACGACTTTCTTTTTTAAATAACACACTGCATGTATTTGCAATATAATAGAAAAGTGAGGGAGGGCAAGATGTTTAAAATCAATTCTCTTCCAGAAAGATGTCCTTTCAGATATGCTTATACATATAATTAAAGCCTCACAAGGATTTTGCTTTAAATTGTTCCCTGCAATAGATCTCTCTAAACCCCAAGCAGTATATATATGGCAGGTTCTGCAGTGGAATGGGCCTTATTTTCTGTATATCCATGAATGCATCAGAATGCAATTTAAATTCCACTGCCAGTGGTACATTTGAATCTACTGAACTCAACTTTGCTGGAATGCATAGCAGTGGCATAGAGAAAATATCCCTGCACTGCTAGCAAAGAGGAATTTAAAGCACCTTTAATGGAGACGATGAGTATCATGTACAGAGCCCAAACCAGGGGATGAACACAGAAACTGTGAGCAGTTAAGATAGAAGGAAATAAGCCCTATCAGCTACAAAATGACAAATCATCTTTTCATCAAATATGCAAACACACTTTTGGAGGCCGAAACACATTCAATCTTTTCCCAATTGGCTAGTCCAGGGGTAGGCAACCTTGGCTCTTTTATGACTTGTGGACTTCAACTCCCAGAATTCCTGAGCCAACCATGCTGAGGGGAAAGAGAGAGGTTTCCAAGCTGAGCCGTGCTGGCTCAGGAATTCTGGGAGTTGAAGTCCATGAGTCATAAAAGAGCCAAGGTTGCCTACCTCTGGGCTAGTCAGATTTGTTGTGTGCTGCTATTCGAGATCCTTTGGATGTGAACCACAATTTTGTTCCATGCTCTGGGGCTGCCTTAAAATCTTTGCTCATGAATGCATCTACCTGCTTCTCAAATAATTGCCCATGCCTTTTGCCCTTTTCTTCTTCCCTTAAATATGTCTAAATTGATTTCTAGAATAGAATAGAGCTGGAAGGGACCTTGGAGGTCTTCTAGTCAGATTCCTGCTCAAGCAGGAGAATCTATACCATCTCAGACAAGTGACTGTCCAGTCTCTTCTTAAAAACCTCCAGTGATGGCGTGCCCACGATTTCTGAATGCAAGCTGTTCCACTGGTTAATTGTCCTCATTGCTAGGAAGTTTCTCCTTAATTCCAGGTTGCTTCTCTCTTTGGTCAGTTTCTAACCATTGTTTCTTGTACTACCCTCTGGTGCTTTGGCGAATAATGTGACCCCCTCTTCTTTGTGGCAGCCCCTAAAATACTGGAATACTGCTATCATGTCTCCCCTATTTCTTCTTTTCTTTACACTAACCAAACCCAGCTCCTGCAGCCGTTCTTCATATGTTTTAGTCTCCAGGCCTTTGATCATCTTAGTTGCTCTTCTCTGAACTTTTTCCAAGGTCTCATCATCTTTTTTGTAGTATGGTGGCCAAAATTGGTTGCAGTATTCCAGGTGTGGTCTCACTAGCGTTTTATAAAGCAGTACTAATACTTTGCATGATCTTGATCCTATGCCTCTGTTTATACAACCCAGGATTGTATTAGCTTTTGTGTGTGCTGTTAGCTTTGACATAGCAATCCTGTCTGGAAGGCACACGTATGCTTTTTGCAAAAGAAGGGAGCCCTGTGTCAGAGGTATACTGTAGGGGTTTATTAATGAAAAAAAACTACAGTCGTTCGAACTGGACTGAGCAGAGTGGGGAGGGCTTTTTTTTTTTCCTTTGGCTCCAGATTCAGAGACAGAATTGTCACGTTAGAGTGGGTAATTTGACACTGGATCCTCATTTCCATCACAACCCCAACCTCTCTGCTGTTTCCGATATTAGAAAACCACACAGGAAAAGGCTCATAAGGATGTGTGGCAGCAGGCTGGTAGGGGCTGAGAATACAAAGGATCCACAATGTTTTCCGTCCTCATCCTGCCTCTTTACACTCACTAGAAAAATTACACCGCTTTATAAACAAGTCTTCCTTCCGGTGCTTCCAATAGATGGGAACAATAAAAATAATAATACCTGCAGCAATAACAGCTATTCCTTTCAGATTTGGTCCTGCTAATCTCAAGCACACTCTGATTTGAAGTTAACTTGCATCACATCTGCAATGGATCTGGTCACTATTTTCTTAAGTGAGCCAAAATGTTATCCTCAAAATGCACGCCTAGGCCACATTTCAATACTAAGAGGTACCTACAATTTCAATATATGTAGATATTTCTAATACGGTAGCAAATGTTTCCCGAATGGCTGTAGCATTGAGAAGCAATTTTCTTTTCATGTGAAATCCAATGATACTCACCTCTAACTACAGGTAATGTAGTCTTTATGGGAGTACAAGAGCATAAGCTCATCTTAATGGAAGCAGAATGTGTATCACTGTATAAAGGTCTGTTGAGACACTTTCATGTCTGGGCACAAAGGTGAGGGGGACTATGCCATATCTATATGCAAACATAAATAAAATACTTTAGAAAAATTGTATATTTTGTACAACTATGTACAGTGAGTGTTGGGGAGGTGAATCCCATTTTCAAAGGTTCATTCACTGGAGTGTCCTGGTCGCCACCACCCATCTTTTTTTTTTTTTTTTGAAGTTTTCAAAGCTCCTCCCACACCCGTTTTCAGTACTCTCTTGCTTCCTGAAATTGTTTGTAATAGTCCTCCTCCAAAGGATTTTCTGTACATTTCTGACCATTGTTAGGTGGCCGGGCTTCATTGTACCTACTCCAGTCCCCTTTGCAAATGATCCAGGGCAAAACATCCACCTTGTAATGAAGTTCTGCAGAGAACTCGATGCTGATCAGGTTGGGGGTGCCAGCCCCTTTCCCTCGGGTAATCAGCTGCATGCTGTCGTCCTAGCAGCAGTGCTGTGCGGCCAAGGTGGTGCTTTGCAAGGACAGCATGGACCGGATGCAGTAGCGGGCGCTAGGCTTATAGATCTCCAGTTTTTCTTTTGGCCCACTTGCATCTTTCCAGCGGAAGTTCTTCCTTTTCAGACGATCGTAGATCTCTGCCGTGCTATAAGCTACTTCGGTTGGGTAGGTGCAAGGACAAGCGGGAAGATCATTGACTACTTTGTGCATGTACTTCTTTAAGAATTCACTTTTGCAACTCATCCACCTTTCACAGCTATCCGTATCTGAAGAAGAGAAAGGAGGGCACAACGGGGGGGGGATCAAACTCTATTAAAATCATAAGTGGTATGATTTACTGATTGGTTTGGAATCTGTGACCCTCTAGATCAGCGATTCTCAACCTGTGGGTCGTGACCCTTTTGGGGGTCGAACAACGCTTTCACAGGGGTCGCTTAAGACCATCGGAAAACATATTTCCGATGGTCTTAAGAACCGAGATACCGCTCCTCTATCCGGCTGCCGCCGCCACCACCCTCCTCTTCCTCCACCAGCTCCTCCACCTCCAGGGCGCCCGTCTCCTGCTCCTCCTCCTGCCACCGCAGTGCCATTGCGCGCGCCCCTGACGCCGCCCCAGGCCGGCTCAGCTGCGTGGGCGGCCGAGCCAAGTCTGGGCTGCTGCTGGTGCTGCCGCTGGGCTGCTCTGCTGCTGCTGGCTGAGCTGCGGCGCCAAGACACTCCCCACACCTCCTGGTTGCCCAGCTGCACTCCACCCCTGGCTGCCCTCCGCACTGCGCCGGAGCTTCCCCCGTGCCACCCGGCCCTCCTCCCTCACCGTAGGAGGCCACCTTGGCCCTCTGGCACCTGGCGCAGACCTGGGGCTGGTGGGCAGGAGCAGCTCCTTCCCGGCTCGCCGGGCTCTGGGCCTTGGAAGCGGCCAGGCGGCGGGGAAGAGGGCAAGGCAGCAGCGAAGCCCGCATGTGCGTCGGAGGCCACCAGCCGGGCCGGGAGGGGAGAAGTGGTGCCTTCTGAGCGGGAGCTGGTGCTCCAGCCGTGACCATCTCGCGTGCGACAAGTCGGGGAAGGATCATGGCGGTGAAGGGCTGCGCAGCGTGGAAAGGGGCTCCCGCGACCCCGCCGCTGTGATGGCACTCAGAAGGCTGGAGGGGCGGGCAGGTTCCAGGGGGGCGGCTGGGAGAGGGAAAGAGGTGCCGGGATCAGGATGGGGGGGTTCCAGGTTGGCGAGAGGGCAGCCGGCAGCTCCGAGGCGTACGGATCGTCCATCTACCATCTCCAGCAGCCCTAAAAAGCACTGTGGAAGAGTGGGGAATGCTCGGAGTTGCAGTTCATCACCATCTGGGAAAACATGACTCTCCAAAGATCCTTCCTTCCTTCCTTTCCTCCTTCCTTCCATCTCCTTCCCTTCCCCTTCAATCTTCCTTCCTTCCTTCCATCTCCATCCCTTCCCCTTCAATCTCTCTCTCCTTCCTTCCCCCTTCAATCTCCTTTCTTCTCCATCTCCTTCCTTTCCCCTTCAATCTTCCTTCCTTCCTTCCATCTCCATCCCTTCCCCTTCAATCTCTCTCTCCTTCCTTCCCCCTTCAATCTCCTTACTTCTCCATCTCCTTCCTTTCCCCTTCAATCTTCCTTCCTTCCTTCCTTCCTTCCTTCCTTCCTTCCTTCCTTCCTTCCTTCTCCATCCCTTCCCCTTTAATCTCTTTCTCCTTCCTTCCTTCTTTTCCCCTTCAATCTCCTTCCTTCTCCATCTCCTTCCTTTCCCCTTCAATCTTCCTTCCTTCCTTCCCCTTCCCTCCCTCCCAACATTTTTGAGCAAGGAAGAGTAAGCTTCTCCAGTGAGCATTGCTATATTGTTTTTGTGATTAATCTCTATGCTTTAATTATGTTCAATTCATAACAATGAAAATACACCCTGCATATCAGATATTTACATTACGATTCATAACAGTAGCAAAATTACAGTTATGAAGTAGCAACAAAAATAATTTTATGGTTGGGGGTCACCACAACATGAGGAACTGTATTAAAGGGTCGTGGCATTAGGAAGGTTGAGAGCCACTGCTCTAGATGTTGCTAAACTACAACTCCCAGCACCTTCCCCAATGGATGTGACTGGAAATGCTAAGGTTATGTGACAACATCTGGAATACCACAAGTTTTCCTTCATTGTCATACTGTATCTTTCAAGTGTCAAAAGGCGGGTTTTTACTATGAGTAGCATTGTCACATTTTAACAAAGAGTTGCTTCACTTTTTAGTAAAGTAATATTTTGCTCAATTTCTTCACAAGGGCTGTATGTTTATCCCTTTAGTATAGGCTTTAAATCAGCATAAAACAATGCTTTTAGCCAAGAGTCATGACTGGTTTTTTTTAATTAATTGATTGATCTTTAACTATTTCAGTGTTTTTAAAGAGTCATAAGCTGAATTAAATTATTTAATAAAAGTATTCTTTATTGCACAAATAATTCTATTGATTGATTGATTAGACGCTTTGTAAGGACTTGGCCCCAAAAGACTATTTAAAATATTTAAAAGTAATTAATAAACTAATATATAAATCCAGATGCTTTCAATTTTATTTTCAAAGGACACATTCCTGAGCCTCAAAGCAAATTTCTTAGAATCAATGTCAGTGACAATGTGCACATTTGCTATCCTTTCCCCTTGAATGCATATATTCTCAAGTTTTTGTTGTTGCTGTAGTATCACTAGAAGATAAGTTGTTATTTAAAAAACAACAACATATTCCTGAGTTGTTCTGGAATTGAAGCAGGAATACTGTCATGCAGAGACACTAGCACATAAAGTTTCATGTGCTTTCTTATTAATGTGCAAAGTAAAAGTTGAATTTGTTTTGTCTATAATATACTCCTTTTTAAAAAGAAGTTGCATTAAGATCTATCATTATTATTATACTACTAATAGTTTTATTATTTTCTTTTAACTGATGATATTAAAATAGCTTCTTATAACTGAAATCAGAAATGGCTTGCATTCCTCTTATAATATTTGGTAAGATAGCAAGAAATCTGGCCAAATCAGGATGTGCCATAGTGGAATGGTCATGAGTGATGAAGTGGTGAATATGTCTCTAAAGTTCAAATATTTTGCAAGTTTCAGGAAAATCCTTGGCTTTCGTTTGCATTCCTAAGCAATCCTTTGACTTAGTGATGTCCTAACCACTGTGGATAGATCTTATAAAGCTATTTATTGCTCATGAAGACTTCCTGAACTTATTATATTATAGTAGCTGTACTACTCAGTTCTTGCCTTTTGTCTTGATGTTGTTAATTTAACTTGGAATGTTCACAATACAGCTGGAAATAGTCACTTTTGTTAGAATTTCGCATTGGAAATCACAGATCTCCTGGAAAAGGTTGATGGAGGTTCCATTCAAAACCCAAAGAATGTTGGCAGGGAGAGATTTCAGAGCGTACTTCGTACTAGGGACTCTTTGTATATAGAGCCACTTCTTGTTGGCATATGCAATTGAATCTTAACATACAATCTGAGGTAGCTGTCTTAAATGTAGCACTCCCCAGATGCTTTCAAACACAACTGTCCCCCTCAGCCAGTATGCAGTGGTGTAGATTATGACTGTCGATAGATTCCTGAGGGAGTCAACCTTCCTATGTCACCTAGGATAAGTTTAAGGGGGGGAGGAAACCCCACCCTTTTTGCTATTATCTACTTACCAACTTCAAAGAGCTTTGTGGCATTGAATTCTTCACTTCCTGCAAGCAAGCTCACTTCTGTGGCAGCTGTTCTGAATGTATCCTCAAGTCCTATGTACATTATTTGAAAGAAGGAAAACACAAGAGTTGTTTCAATAGTCCCACTGTACTTGAAGAGCAAGAGCAAATGCACCACATGCATTTATTTTCCAAAATTTACTCATTTAACATTATTTACAGCCCCTGGGAAGGGTAAAACAAAGTCAAGAGAAAGCCAGCACATTGAAAATCAGACATGTATAATAAATGCATGAACAATGATTGCTTGCCAGAGCACAATAAATCAGTTATAAACCCAGGGTTTGTGTACTCTGATATTCAGAACTGTCTTGAAATGAGTTTAGGGTTTTGAAACACTTTTTTTTTCTCTTTGGTATTTTGAAGTTTGTATTTTCAGGCATCGTTGAAGATTACAACAATTTGGATAAAGGCAAAAACTACAGAGTAGTAAAGCAGTAAAGCTTTTCATTATTGCATGCTTGAAGTGCTAGCAGATGAAGGCTATGCATTCCAACTACATTATTAGCAGATCATTATTTAAAAACAGGATGTGCTCTTGATGTTACGGCTTATTAAAACAATGTGACTGAGATGTTTGGCAGGGAATATATTGGGGATATTCATCTTCAGCTTTAAAGAAGCCACTGTTGTATGAGAGGCCTCCTCCCAAGCATGTACAAATAGTGATGGTGGTGGAGGAGGCCACCTTGGGATCCACACGCATGGAGGATCCAGATTACCCTCGCTGCCAGTCTTCGCAACAACAACAATCCTAGTCCTATAGGGCTTAAGCATAGCAGAGGTTTAATTCCTATTAATTTAAACATTTTTTTTTTAAAAAAATGTTTTTATGTTTCTGTTTTTACCATATTGTAAGCCACCCAGAGTGGATAGTGAGAGGGGCAGCATATTAAATAAATCAACATAGCAGAGAGATAGCATGGAAGGAAGCAAAGAGCATATCAGGAAGGGAGCAATTTTATCTCCCCTTTTGCTGCCTTTCTTCAACTTGTCAGCAACCATAGCAGCAGCCCAGGTCCCCTTTATCTTCTCCTTGTTCAGGGATCCAAGGAAGCGAGGCAAACCCCATGTGGGGCTTAGGCCTGCTTTGTGGCAATGCTAAGGAAGACACAGCAGTGGGACTCTTTCTCCTGCCGTGTCTCAATTCTTCCATCATGGTGGGAATCAGAGAGGTCTGTGGTTAGGTCTCAATCTACGTAAGCAATGGGTTACTTCCCCTCATAAGAGAATACTGTTCCTCAGCTAGGAAAGAGGAACTTATGTTTGGCTGGTCCAGCCAGAAAAATTAAAGGAAGGAGTCACCTTCCTGCTTTACAAGTGTATGTTTTTGTCATTGTGTACTTATTTATGCACAATATACATGCTACCTAGTTCCTTGAACTCTGGGTAATTTACAATCAATCCAAAATATTAAAATATAGCAAATGCCGTGATAGTCTGGAAAAAAAAACCCTCACTAGTAAACTACAGATAGTCCTTGAGTTATAACCATTTGTTTAGTAACCGTTTGAAGTTATGACACGGGAAAAAGTGAGTTACGATCGTTTTTCACATTTATGACCATTGCATCATCCCCATGATCACATGATCAGAGTTCGAATGCTTGGTAACTCGTTCATATTTATGTCAGTTGCAGTGTCCCAGAATCATGTGACTTTCTGACAAGCAAAGTCAATGGGAAAGCCAGATTCACTTAAAAACTGTGCTAATAACTTAACCGCAGTGAGTCACTTAACAACTATGGCAAGAAAGGTCGCAAAATGAGGCAAGATTCATTTAACAACTGTCTTTACTTAGGAACAGAAATTTTGAGCTTAATTGTGGTCATAAGTGGAGGACTACCTGTAGCCTCAAGGCAATGCTCACATAATTGGCACCCAGAAAAGCAGGGCTTAACGTTCTCCCTGAAGGCCAGGAGATTCAGAAGAAATGAGGAGTTCCAGAGTACGTGGGCAGTTTCCAAGGAAGCATACCAGCATCTTCCCTTCTCCTTATGCAGGGGGAGAATCATCAATGCATACTTCCTACACACACACACACAAACACACACACACGGCTGGGTCAAATCTTGTGAAAGAAGTTTTGTAAGTACTCAAGCTATGGAAAGCTGTAAAGATAGTAATGGCCCTGACAAAGATCACGTAAGAGGGAAATCAGTAGTGTCATCTTCTATGTTCAGGTCTGGAACCTAGCTAGAAGAGGTCTGGGATCCTCCGTACCTAAAGCCCCAATGTCTTCTCCAAAACCTTTCTTAAAAGGGAAAGTTGGAGATTGGCTAATAATTGCCTAAGGCAGTGATGGCGAACCTTTTAAAGACAGAGTGCCCAAAAACTGGCTCCGCCCCGCTCCGTCCCCCCATCCCCTGCCCCACCTGCCCGCAGGGCCACTCAGCACCTCCAGGGCCCGCCGCAGATCGCCCAGGCAGCCCAGCAGCGCTATGGTGGTCACGCCCTCTGCCCACGCCCTGCAGCATCAACTGTGCACGATGAGGTGTGAGGGCAGAGTCTTGTCTATGCTGCCTGGCTGCCATGTCCTTGGCTGCGCTGCTCCGTGTGGGCCACGCTCAGGGGCGACTCTCCTTCAGGGGGGCTGCTGGAGAGGAGGGGGTTGCGGGGGGAGGCGAGGCTGGGGCAACGGCACGTGTGCCCACAGAGAGGGCTCTGAGTGCCGCCTCTGGCACCCGTGCCATAGGTTCGCCACCACTGGGCTAAAGTGTCTGGATTGAGAGAGATGGTCCCTTTAGAAGGAGGTTTACCATTCCCTCCTGAAAGATAGATGGCATCCCCCTTCTTCAAAAAGGTGTTAACTACCTCTCAGATCTAAGCACGTGCCCCACCTAGCTGCATGAATAAGCCAGGTGGAACATGAATCTAGCTTACATGGAGCAGAGTACATATCTGTATCTTTGCTTTCAAAGCTCAAAAATCACTTATAGTTTACTTCACTATCCCTTGCCAGTGTGACATTGTACTCATCTCTAAGTAAATGAGAATGATTTTATTCACAAAGAACTTTGTTAACATGTCACATGGGCCTGAGGAATATCTGCACACTTGTCCTTCTCCAGGAAGGAATATAATCTTGCACAAAGGTGCACCAGATATAAATCTGCAAAGGCGGTAACAATGAAGAAATGTGCACACTTCAGAACTCTTATATCCATGATATTCTCTCAGACATGGGAATGCCACCTTGTTTGATTACATTCACCCTTTGTTTTCTTCCACCATTGCTCTAGTTATCTTCTCCCTAAAAACCCTCAGGATTCATGAAGGGAGGCTACGGTCTCCAATGGCAATGCCTTTGCTCCTTTCCATTTCAAAAGGGAGCAAGGTGCATGGCAGAACTGCCCACAAGATAGCTGGGTAGTTTTCCACATGCCTCAGAAAATGCAATGGGTGCATCATCACCTTTGCAGATAGTCCAGTATACTAACAATGTGTGCATACCTCGGAAAATAATCTGGCTACAAATTACAAGTACAGATTTCAATGTCTTGCATTTTCAGATTATTTTGAATCTGCTCTGAAGTAAAGACAGAGTCCAATGCATTTATCAGGCTTAACATGGAGGCCATGAACCCCTGAGTTCACTCAGATCCCATCCCCAAGAAACAGGGTTTAAAGTCCTAGTACTCCCGAGAAGTATGTAACTTTTAAGGTAGTCAAATCCTGTCCCTACTCAATATTCTGCAGTTTAGACTCTTCACACTGCATTGAGAAATTTAAAGAAACAGAAAAATGATTTCTTATAATTTCAATGTACCATTCTCATTTTTCCTTCCTGAGTTTGCTTCATACAAGCCTATTATTTGAAGCGTTTTAGGACAGCCAAATTATAAATAATTCCAGCAACCTGCTTTTTTCACATACAGAAATGTATGAATATCGTACTTTCTGCCAGAAAAAATTTTACAAGCTCTTCGTGTTATTTATCAAAAACAAACGGCACAACTTATAGTTAATGGAGGTTTGTCAGAGGTGTTTTCAATTGAGAAGGGGACCAGACAGGGTTGTCCATTGTCACCACTGCTGTTTGTTTTAACTTTGGAAATTTTGCCGATTAAAATTCGGGAATCACAGAAAATAAAAGGAATAGAAGTTAATAAAAAAGAATATAAATTAAGGGCTTTTGCAGATGACTTGGTTGTTACTTTATCTCAACCAACTTACTCTGTAATTGAACTGTTACAACTGATACATCAGTATGGACAAGTTTCGGGTTTTAAAATTAATAACAATGAGACTAAAATATTGCTTAAAAATACAACCAATTTGGATAAGGAGACTCTAGTTAGGCTGACAGATTTTGAGGTTGTTAATAAGGTAAAATATTTGGGGGTTATCTTATCTGCTTCTAATGCAAAACTGTATAAAAATAATTATGAAAGGCTGTGGGTTAAAATACAAAAGGATTTGGGAAATTGGAAGAAGCTGCAATTGTCCCTATTGGGGAGAATTGCAGCGATTAAAATGAATGTTTGCCAAAGTTTCTCTTTTTATTTCAAATGATACCTATTTTAAAGAATGAGGTTAACTTAAATGAATGGCAGAAAGGTATCAATAAATTTATTTGGGCAGGGAAAAAAACCAAAGTAAAACTTAAAATTATACAAGATATTCGTGAGAGAGGTAGACTCAAGGTACCGAATTTGAAATTGTATTATGACGCTGTAGTGTTAACGTTAATTAGTGATTGGGTTAATTTAACAAATGTAGATGTACTCCTCCTGGAGGGATGGGATTTACTTTTTGGATGGCATGCCTATTTAATTTTTAATAAGAAGGTTGATAGGGTTTTTAAGTCTCATATTTTAAGAACTTCCTTACTTTGGGTTTGGAAGAAATATTATAGAAGTGACTCAAGAATTCCATTATGGGCTATTCCATGGCATGCGATAGAAGGGATAAGGAGAGGAGTTAAGATGGATAGCATTTCTTATATACAATTACTTAGATGGGATGGTAAAAATTGGCAATTAAAACCCATGGAAGATTTAATACAAGAAAATATTATTTTTTCATGGTTCCAGTATAGACAATTATTGGAAAGGTGGAAGATAGATTGTAAGGTGGGTTTGCTTAGAGAGGATGAGAATTTGTTAAAACAAATAAAAGATCAAAGATGAACCCATATCAAAATAATTTATGGGGTATTAGTGGAACTGGATTCAGAAGCAGAATTAGTTAAAGATTGTATGGTTAAATGGGCACAAAACTTTAATGAATCGGTTCCATTAGATACTTGGGAGATTATTTGGGTGAGGAATGTTAAATTTACACAAGCCCAAAACTTACGGGAAAACTTTTATAAAATGTTTTACAGATGGCACCTTGATCCACAAAAAATGTCTCGTATGTATTCAAACTTGCAGCCTAAATGTTGGAGATGTGGTTGCTTGGATGCTACTTATTATCATATTTGGTGGTTATGTAAAAATATTAAAGCTTTTTGGATTAAGATATGGTGGAATATTCAAAGAATTTTTAAAAGAAGGATAAAATTTACTCCACAATTGTTTTTGTTGGGTATTGTTTCCGACTGTGACAGTAAAGAAACTATTAATGTTAAATCTAATTACAGCGGCTAGGTTGTTAGTAGGGCAATGCTGGAAGAAGGAATCTTTGCCTACTCTGCAAGAATGGTTTCTTAAAGTTTCCTATTTAGCGGAAATGGCAAAGATTTCGGCTTTTTTGAAAGATCAATCGCAAGAGAAGTACCTCTTGGTATGGAAAAGATGGATAAATTTTATTCAATACAAGTATGATATAAAAAAATATTACTTAGCTTTTGAAATTTATATTTAAAGCTTAAGATTTTTTTTCTTCTTCTTGTTTCTTTTCTTTTTCTCTTTCTGTTTTTTTAAGTATTGGTGTTAAAATATTTTATGATTTGTTCAATTATTGTAACCAAATTTGTATATGGTTTACTTGTGTTTAAATTTTTTTCTTTTAAACTTTAATTAAGCCTGTATTCAGCTCTGGGAAGGTTGGGGGAGGGTTGGGGTGGGTTGGGAGGGTTGGGGGAAGGGAACTTTTTTCTTTGTAAAATTTTAAAAATTTTCAATAATAAAAAAAAATATCGTACTTTCTGCCCAACAAGAGAGGAGAATTCACTGTTAACTCTACTGCTTGCATTACATCATTAAATAGGCACAACTATGCTTACCTAGGACAGGGGTGGGGAACCTTGGCTCTTTTATGACTTGTGGACTTCAGCTCCCAGAATTCCTGAGCCAGCCATGAAGTCCACAAGTCATAAAAGAGCCAAGGTTCCCTACTCCTGACCTTGGACATTTCAAAATTTTGAATGGTGCTTAAAGGGGCCATCTGAAAATTTGTATTTGGTTTGCAGGTAAGTATGGAGTGGGGGGAAGTCCTGCTCCCTTGGTGGAAAGAGAAGCAAGTCAGCAAACCTACCACAGCTGGAATCCCCACCCTACCTTCAAAAGTTGGCCCATCCTGCTCTTAATAAGTAAGCAGCATTCTCCTTTGTGAACTGCTGAAAGATTACGACTGTTAGATGAGTGAGTGCTACTTTCTGGGAAGCTATTGTTCAGTACAGCAAGTGTTACGGTCTGAGTCACAGAGGAGGTTCTCTAATTGCATTTCAAGCTGTATGACAGAGGCTTGAGGGGAAAGTATTAGAAAAGGAGCACTCCAGTGGCTGAACTCATCAGTGGTTACAAGAATGCTTATTTCAGAGTTAGGAGCCTAAGACAATACAAAAGAGGCATGTGCTATCGTGACCTCAGCCTCTCTTCCTTGAAAACACGGCAGAGTATAACTTTTCATAGTGCTCTCTGAAATCTGATTTAACTACACAACCTTCAAGATTTCATATTAGCTTACCATTAACAAAAGCTCAATAATGGGGGGGGGGGAAGAGAGAGGAGGAACAATTAGAAGAGGCATGAGATTCTTAATCCCAGTACTACTCCATCTAGTGCCTTTTGCAAGAAATGCACTTTCTCCATCTTCATGCTGAGAAAAGGCGTTCAGGTAAGACGACGCCCCTTCTCCCTACCAATTGTCTGTAGATCATATTGAAAAATAGAATATACTTCAATAAAAAGTATGATTGAGGAACCCTTTGAGGCAGGGAAACAATTTATGTCATTCTGTGATTTACAAAGATGCAAGCAAGGTAATAATTCCAGATACCTGACCAGCTCCTGCTTGTACTATAAATGATTTGGTCCATATCTACACACACACAAACACACACACACACGGGGGGGAGGGAAGGGGGGAGAGAGGTCTACACACACATACACACACACACACGGGGGGGGGGAGAGTGTCCATGGCTCATGACTAGGAGCAATTATGTTTTCTATTTCCTACCTGGGCAGTTTGGTCGGTCACATGTCCTCGATTCAGTGGCTGTGCAAGCATATCCACAGGTCCTGGTGCGTTTCTGATTGCCACTTCCACAAGTTGTACTACAAACTGACCACAGACTCCAGTCTCCTTCTCCCTCTACGTAATCTGAAAGGGAAGAGACAAAAAAAATTAGGAAAACAGAAAACACCACTACCACGAAAGCCTGAAAGCTGTTGAAAATAGACACAATCTGTGCTGCCATCCGCATGCTGGCTGGAGGTTTATAGATGTTGTAGTCAGCCCTGCAGCAAAATGTTGCAACGCAGATTTCTACTAAATGTATTCCAGCCAGCCATGCCCCTTTCTACCCACCTTGTATTGTTTTTCAACCCTTTCTAATAATCCATGAGTTTAATTTGTTTTGCTTTGTTTTTGAGCATGGTCCCGTCTTTCTCTTTCTGGAGAAATTCCATCAACCCTGCTTAACACATCCTTCTTCTGCCTGGGTGGTGCCATTTTGACTCTGTAAAGTTCCACTGCTTCTAAATGAGTTTATTGTTGGTACAGGAGCCTTGACGCTAGTGAATAGAATCACCCCATGTATTTGCCTTTCTGTTGAGTCTGATTTCTACCTGATTGTTCCTTCCCCTTCGGTTCACGATCAGAGTGCACAAACATTCTACCCTTGTTATGGACACCTGTTTTGTACACACATTTGCCAGTGAGCTTTTTGTTCACTCACCATATTCTGGCTGCTCCTTTGATTCAAACATCCGATGACTTGATGGATGCCTATCCCAGCCGTCACTCAAGGGATTTAGGAAGTTGCTGTCTTCAGTCGTGCTATCGTATTTGTAATCCTGGTCTCCACTACTCATGCGAGTGATGGAAGGTGCGGATCTTTGCCACCAGTTTCTCCAGTTTGGTGATGGGACAGGCCAACTGGTTTTGCTGCTTTCTCTTTTAAGACCTTTCTCTGATTCAGACTCTGTTCCATCAACAACCTCTATAGTCACCTGGAGAATTCAAGAAGAAATGGCATTCAGGCCCCTTCAGATCAGAAAAACTAATACAAAGCCTAAAAACCAGCCACAATCTGGTAAAGAATACATTGGATAAAAAAAAAAGGTTACAGATCCTATGACCTGGAACAAATTAATAATTATGTCTGTGATTGCATAACAAGAAAGAGTTTTATATTTTCCACCAATACCTCTTTGCAATTTGTCAGTTATTTTAGCTTTTTTAAAATCATAAAGCAGCAGCTCCCAACCTTTTCTATACCCTGCACTCATGGAACACTTCTGATATATTCTCGCACCCCTTACAAAAGTTTGAAATAACGGCAACGAATTATGCATATACACTATCATTTTGAAAACCCAAGTTTTCGCACCCCCGGTTGGGAACCCCTGTAATAAAAGTAGGTGTGTTCAAAGATTCCCACATTTTACAAAGTAGAAGCGTGGCAGAGTGAACAGATTAGGGAGAGGAAGGCACAGAACAAGGACATGTACAAGGCAGCCAAGAGGAGAGATGTACAAATGAAGACTGGAATCAATAGAAAGTCAAAGAAAATAGGAAATACATGCATGATTAACATTCCTTTTCCATAGGCCAGTAGTTTATAAACTTATTAAAATTGAGATGTTATTGGACCACAAGGTAGCTCTGAATAAGATATATTGTTTTTACAATTATTTAGCTTACTTTTTTTTAATTTCTGCTGTAAGGTCCCAGTATTATTTATCAATGGACTATTTAGTATTGTATATTTACACATATTATTATGAATTAAACTGCTGCCTTGGAATATTTGACAAATTATCTTGAAATACTGTATTACATTAGCTCCCTAAAACATTCTGAGTGGGATTCCAGCCTCAGTGATGACTTTGTTGATAGGAACTGGGGCGTTACAGGAGCCAGGGGGCAGGCTGTTAACAGGGGAAGACACCTCTGATGTGTAGCATTGGTGTCGTGTTCTGTCCACCTAAGCAAACTCCCAGTCCTTAGATAGCACATCCTTGGAGGCCTGGAAGTTTGGCTACTGCCAGTAAATGCCAGGTTGGTCTATAATAAGGCTGCACTTATCCAAAACCTTATTGATGAGGAGCGAGCCAACCTGGCACACATGACTGAGACCTGGCAGACTCCGGAAGGGGGAAGGGTCCCTCTCAGACGTGCCCAGCTTGGTTAGGTTTTTATACCAGCTGAGAGCCCAGGGCAGAGAAGGTGGGGCGGCCGTGGTCGTCCGAAAATCAGTCTTGGCCTTTAGAGGCCTTGATTTCCAAGTTTCTGCTTGTGAGACATTATTTCTGAAGCTGGGCTTATGGGATCAGTTGGGATTGTTTCTACTGTATCAGCCTCCCTGTGTGTGGCAACCAATTTGCCTGATCTGCTGGAGACCATCTCAGGGCTGGCAGTGGAGTTTCCCAGACTTATGGTTTTGGGAGACTTCAACCTGCCATCCCTGAGTTTGGCTTCAAAAGTGACCCAAAAGTTCCTGGCCACCATGGAAGCCATGGACCTCTCATCTTGGCTCCAATTTGGGACACACACCAGATATGATCTTGTTGGGGCAACGGCAGTGTGATTCAGGGATCTTTCCCTGGACGTGGTCGTTTAGTTGGCCATCTTCATTAGAAGTCCACTGGAGTCCATCTTCAGGGAACTTCTCTCCAGCTTGAGATTAGATCCTAGGACATGTATAGTTGCCATCCTTCGTGAGTTCTATTTGAATATTAAACTTATGATCCTTATTTATTGTTTTAATGTTTTATAGTGAATTTTAATTGAATGTCTGCATGCTACTTAGAGTTGCCTCTGGCAAGATGGACAGCCCACAAGTTTAAATACATAAATAAATCTACTTATATCATCCACAGAATTTTATCGGACAGCACACAAATAAATAAATAAATAAATAAATAAATAAATACTTATATCATCCATAGAATTTTCTCAGTACAATCAAACCACTGATCCATTTTCTCCAGTGTTTCTCAACCTTGACAATTTTAAGGCACGTGGACTTCAACTCCCAGAATTCCACAGCCAGCAATGCTGGCTGTGGAATTCTGGAAGTTGAAGTCCACGTGCCTTAAAATTGTCAAGGTTGAGAAACACTAATTTACTCCAACATTATCAGTACTAGAAGTGATTCTTCCTCAGTCTGTTCAAAATTTGGGAACCGCAGACCCACCAATCCAGAAGGCATCAGATTGGAAAAAATTCCTCAAATACACTGATGTACCATTGTTTATATTAATAGTACCTTCCTAATTTCCAATAATACTCTATACATTTTTCAGTTCAGCTGTATTTCAGTGCACTACTGTACACGTCTATGCATGTTTTCACGTGGAATAAAGAAATTTACAGTATATTTAAACATGCACAGACATTTGATGGAGAAATTATACCATACAGTGAGATGTATCTCTGCCTAGAGAGGGAACACCTCAAGCATAATTGAAGAAGGGGACTTTAATTCATGAAATCCTACCTCGCACTGTGATTTGGTTGGCCTTCGAGGTGTACCAGGGCATATTTGGTTTTATGGCAAATGGTTATTAGGGCTCCCTCTATGAAAGCATGGGAAATAGTTACTGAAAAACTGGAAGAAAGGGAACATTCAAGTCAAGAAATGAAATATCGAACCTAATTTCAGGGCCTTCTAGTACTCACTCACAATTTAAATAGGCTTGAAAAGCAAAAACATACATCACACGTAAAATAACTTGGCAGCCAAGTCCTTTTGCTTACACATGACTTCACTTTCTTTCGAAGGAGAAGAAAGTGAAACTGTTGCCCGGTGAATAGCCCTGCTATGCCAGCCTGACTGCATGAGTTGGCATGTGTCAAATCAATGCCCATTAACAAAAGAGCTCGGGGGGGGGGAAATCAATGCTCCTCAAGGAAATATCTTTAAAAGTACCTCGTTTTCAAGAAATTCTTGGGAATCCCTTTATTTGAGTGCAGCTGTGCATTTGGCTGCTGATTTGACAATCAAATTTAAAAAGCAGCTGTAGCACAGAAGTAACAGCTGCTTGGGTTACTCTTTCAAATGATTCCGAGGAGCTGAATACAATATTTTGTTACTGAAACAGATGCAAGCAAACAATCAGCAAACAGATAAGCACTGTGCTCATTTCCACTGGCAGTAGGTTAATGCAATCCTAGAAAGTCTTTCTCCGCAGTGGATGGTTGCTATTTTAAAGCATAAATGTTGAAGCTGCCCTTCCTCAATCTCCAAATATGTTTAGAATGACAGCTTCCCGAATTCCCAGCTGGAATGGCCATTGGGCAAGGCAGGTTTAAATAAATATTTATATTAACCCTAAAATAGGTAAAGAGAAGACAAAATAGGAAGAAATTGACTACTTTACATGTATCTACTTGAATAAATGTGCTGGACTGTCATATAGAACATTACATAGATAGACATAGATTCAGTTCTAATCACAGGCAAACATTCTATTTTAGAATATTGGAAATATTCTAAGATAATCCCAGAAGAAGTTGCTTGAGATCTAATGGTGACTCTAAATTTAAGGTCCCTAATCTGGTCTACAAAAATTCAGATGACCATGAGAGAGCAGCAAAGGATACAAAAATCTCTGTTTGCTGTCAATTAATGGTTATCACATTTTTTTTTCAATCCAGTTATGATTTAGAATAGAATAGAGCAGGAAGGGACCTTAGCGGTCTTCTAGTCCAGCCCCCTGCTCAAGCAGGAGAACCTATACCATCTCAGACAAGTGACTGTCTAGCCTCTTATAAATCTCCAGTGATGGAGTGCCCACAATTTCTGGGAGTAAACTGTTCCACTGGTTAATTGTCCTCACTGTCAGGAAGTTTCTCCTTAATCCCAGGTTGCTTCTCTCTTTGGTCAGTTTCCAACCATTTTTTCTTGTCCTGCCCTCTAGTGCTTTGGAGAATAATTAGAACCCCTCTTCTTGGTGGCAGCCCCTCAAATACTGGAATAGTGCTATCATGTCTCCCCTATTTCTTTTTCTTTAGACTAGCCAAACCCAAGACCTGCAGTGTTCTTCATATGTTTTAGTCTCCAGGTCTTTAATCATCTTAGTTGCTCTTCTCTGATTTTTTTTTCCAAACTCAACATCTTTTTTGAGATATGGTGACAAAATTGGCTGCAGTATTCCAGGTGTTGTCTTACTAGGGTTTTATAAAGCAGTATTAATACTTCACGTGATCTTGATTCTATGCTTCTGTTTATACAACCCAGGATTGTATTAGCTTTTTTGGCTGCTGCTGCTGCACATTGCTGGCTCATAGTCAAGTGATCGTCCACTAGGATGCCAAGGTCCCTCTCACAGTTACTGTTTTTAAGCCAGGTCTCGCCCAATTTGTACTTGTACGTTTGACTTTTCCTGCCTAAATGTAAAACTTTGCTTTTCTTTACATTGAAACTCATTTTGTTGGATAGGACCCATTGTTCAAGTTTGTCAAGATCTTTTTGGATCCTGAGTTTGTCTTCTAGGGGGTTGGCTATTCCTGCCAGCTTGGTGTCATCTGCAAATTTGATGAGTTCCCCTTCAATTCCCTCATCTAAATCATTGATGAAGATGTTGAAGAGTACTGGGCCTAAAATGGAACCTTGTGGTATCCCACTGCTTACTTCTTTCCATGTGGATGTAGTGCCGTTGTGGAGTACTTGTTGAGTACAGTTCGCCAGCCAGCTACAGATCCATCTGGTGGTGATGTTGTCTATTCCACCTTTTTCTAACTTACCAAGGAGTAGATTGTGATCTACTTCATCAAATGCCTTACTAAAATCTAAGTATACTACTTCCACAGATTTCGCTGGTCTATTAGTTTAGTTACTTTATCAAAGAATGAAATAAGATTGGTTTGGCATGATCTGTTTTTAACAAACCCGTGCTGGCTACCATAAACCTATCTAAAGATACAAAGTTGGTTTCCAAAGTAATGTTGGTTTAAATAAGATTTGAGGTTTATTCTGATTTAGCTGTGGTCCAAAACTCCTCAGGGGAAGTTAATCTATTTAAATTAAAATTAAAACTATGCCTTTAACTGCATACATTTTATCATATAGATGCGGTGGTGAGATTTCTCTAGTGTTACAAAAAAATCATCCAAGGCAAAGTTAACCACTCTGACATTAATTTCCACTTTCCTTTTCTGCTCTTCACATTACAAGCTAAGTCTGTGGAACATCTGATATTACACCACAGCTAATAATGAGATTTCAATAAGATGCATTATTTAATTCAATAATCATTTCAACTACACCACAAAAATTTAACCCTAGAGCAAAAATACAGGAATTTAACAAAGCACCCTTTTCTTGCACCTGCTATTGTCATATTTTTTCACATAGAGCCCAAATATTTAATAGGATTCATGCAATATTATTTATTTCCTTTGTAATATGAAATGTCCAATTATTATCTTGCTTTTTCCCCCTTTGTTCCTGTATTTGAAAGTGCTTTTTTAAAAAGGTACACGTTAAGTCCATGATCACTTTAAAATAAAATTTAAAGAATAAAACCAGAAGACCTTTACCTGGATGTTAGGGTTTTGCCCATTGATATCTGCTTTTGAGAAGTCGGGAAAATTTGGAAGGTCGAAAAGGGAAGATCTGGGCCCATCTTTTTGCAAGGATGTATGTCTGTTCTGCTGCCTGAATCGCTGCTTGGCCAATGACCGATGTGCTGCCTGATGACCAGGATAATTCTGTCGATCTTCTGGGTCTAATGTGAAGCTGCTTTCAAGAGATGAAAGGCTCTCTGTATGAAGGATTTCCTAGGACGACAAAGAAAAAAAGGAAAGTAATTCAATTTTTGTAGATCCAAGAAAGATATTAGGCTTGATACAGCGAGGTTTAGCAGAAGTGACTCTGTTGTGGTAGAAGAAGGCAAAAGGGGAAATGACAACTTCTGTGTGATAGTTTATAACGCAAATGACACAATATGAAAAATCACTGCACCATTTGTATGAAGGCAAAAAGCGAAATGACAATTTCTGTGTGATAGTTTATAACACAAATGACACAGTATGAAAGATCACTGCACCATTTGTATGACATCATGATATCTAAGTCATTATCTGGAACTCATTGTGGCTTGCTACCCACCCTACTGATTCTGGCAGTGGTACTTTATGTATATTTCTGCAAAAAAAAAAAAAAAACTTCTGAGATGTTGTACAATGGAAGATCTCATGCCTTGTGGAATGCTTTGTGACCTTGAATAGGACACTTCATATGGATTTCAGCTCTTTTAGGATACAAAATTCTGGTGTTAAGTTGGAAAAGATCTTTCTGAACACCAAAGAATCCTCCATTCAAAGAAGAAGGGCACCAGTGGATCCATCTTCCAGAGTGGCTTATATTAAAGCTATCAAAACCTTTGTGCTGGTGAAATGAAAAGACACATGCAGAAAAAACCAAGCTCATGGCCTTTGCAATGCCATGCCTACAATCAAGAAAACAAGTCCATAACATTTACAGTATATATTCAAAGGTACTACATGTTTCAGTTTTATATACTTCAGTCCTCTATCCTCTACAGCAGCGGTGTCAAACTCGCAACATCACGTGACGTGTTGCGACGTATCGTGACTTTTTTAGCCATTGCCAGCAACGGGGTGGGCGCGGTTTTGCCGTGATGCATCCGGCCCACGGGCTGGCAATTTGACACACCTATTCTATAGCACAGAGGTCATTAAAACTTTAGCAGTGATGGAAAAATAAAACTACAAACTACATGTCAAACAGTACAACAAGCTTCCCTATCACATACATGGTCTGGAAGAAGCAAGAGAGGAGAAATAAAATATGCATTGTGATGTTGATGGAATAACCTTCCTATTATAATTGATTTATTATGTCGCTTACAAATGTGTAAGGTGCCAAACTTGCAGTCTTATTGAGGCATCACAACACACATATCATTTTGATGAAATCTCTGCAGATACGTACCTCTTGTTCCATACTACATAGTCTGTGCTGTTCTTCAGTATATTCCAATCCTGTCTCCTCACTTGATGTCTAGCAGTACAAGAAAGAAATTGGCAATACATCTATATGACTTTTGCATTTGCAGGGCAAGGAAATAATAGAAAGTGGGTCATGGATATTCTGCAAGGGAATTTTGACTCTTGCTAGTTTGCTGATGTAAAAGTTGGAGTTTTTAACAGCTGGGCCCAGATGTTTTCAGTTGCCATCTAATATGAGAGCTACATTCTTGAAATTATGGTTAAATTGAGACCGATGCAGAAAGGAGAACAGAATGCCAGGTGTTATTAAGAAGCTTTGAAAGTCTTAGTGCTTGCCTAAGAAACTATGGGTTGCTCATTGGAGATGAACACAACTATAATGGGGTGCAGAAAAGGAAACAAGAAAATCCGAAGCTTCAAACTCGTTGTCAATATTCTTTCTTTTTTTTAAAAAAAGTTATGTTTCATAGGCACAAACATAACAATCACAATAGGCAATGTCCCATCATTTCTAATAAACATGTTGCATTGTTCCCCTTCTCCACAATTTGGAGCTGAAAAGCAGGCAAGAAAACACTTTCCATGCTCCAGGGAGTAGCACCATTTTGGGGACAATTGCCCTCTTCTAAATTCTGTGTTTGGGTAAAAGCTGGGACTTTAAACATACTCAGAAATCTCAGGAGACCAGTAGAATTACAGAGATGGACCTAAATCTAGAAGGGCAACAAGTTTGTGTTATGTTTTAAAAATATTTCTAATTAGACTGAAGAGCAGCACATGAACAGGGATGAACAAAAATCCATACATATCTGTTGTGTGATAGACATGGTCATAGTGATAAATTTTGGCTCACTATCAAATAAAAGTGTGTATTCGTATGTTTACATCTTAGCTTACTTCTAGAAGTCTCAGAATGGCAAGGTTCTTTCCCCTAGATATCTATAGACAGACATGATAAAGTGGGTTGTCTAATAAAAAGATGGCTGGCTCAAGATCTGCAAAGGTCTTTTTTGATTGAATAAGGTTGAACTTGGATCTCACATGTACTAGTAAATTTAATCTCAACCATACTGTATCTCTAAACTTCTTATATATTTTGGACTAGAACTCCTGGCCATTGGCTATAGAAACTACAGGTCACAAAGTTTTCTGTCCTTGCTTTGTGACCCACCAAGCATCCTTATGCAGCCTACAGATGTTTTTTGAAAACTCAGACTAAATATTGCTGCTCCCAGGAAAGATCTGCTGCTAGATCATTTTTCACAGCCACCTCCTCCCTAAAGACATGCTACTGAATGTTTGTCACATCTCCAGGCCTGCTTTATTGCTGCCAGCATTGCTAGCCACCCAACAGTTGATCGGCAGGCCAGCTATTCCTTTGTACCCTGTAATTATCGATCATGTAGCAATGTGGCACTTTGTTCTCTATGAGTTTTGCTGTCCTGCTCAAGTATATCGTGACTGTCTAGAAAAGTCTTTTCCAATCCGGTGCTCTCCAGATATGCACTATAATCCACGTTGGCTACTCTGATTAGGGAGAATGAGAGTTATAATTTAATTAATGAGGAAGGCAGGGTTGGGGGTTTTTTTGAAGATCTAGAAGGTCCTTCCCCATGTTGATTTCAGTTGGGCTTTTAATGATGGGCATGAAAGTTAACAATTTGCTTTAAATCTGTGTGGCCTATTTCAAAGATTTCACACAGCTGTTTCAGGTTTCCAGCAGACAGATGTTCTGTAATCATTTTCACTTTTCCTGCCTATCTCTTAAAATTTTCAACATCTTCTTCCAAATTTATTTCTGGAATTATCATCTGCCAAATAATATTTTGTAAAAAAAAAAAAACATTTTGTTTATATGGGTCACAAAAAACAAGAAATCACTATTCATTTAGAAGTTAAAAACAACGTAAGTATGCAATAGGAAAAAAGCTACATTTACAAAAAAGAAAAAGGAAACCAGACGATCCTGGGACAAACAACCTATTTGAGCAAAAGATACTTTGCCTGACAAGGAAGTCTCATTGGTGGTATTCTTCATTTAAAGTTTGACGTAGTTGAGCCTGGAAGCAAACTAAAGTAAAATAAAGTTTGTTTCCAAGAACTCTAATTAAGATCTAAGCCAGAGAAAATGTTCCACTTTTCATGTTTATGAAAATGGCACATTAAGAGAAAACAACAACCCATCATGGTGTTGGAATGAAATGGTTGTTTAGATAGCTAGAGATAAAGGCAGAGGCAGATAGGTAGGTAGGTAGGTAGATAATTAGAATAGAATAGAATGGAATGGAATGGAATAGAATAGAATAGAATAGAATAGAATAGAATAGAATAGAATAGAATAGAATAGAATAGAATAGAATAGAATAGAATAGAATAGAATAGAATTCTTTTATTGGCCAAGTGTGTTTGGACACACAAGGAATTTGTCTCCGGTGCATAAGCTCTCAGTGTACATACAAGTAATAGTGATAATCATAACTATATACAATATGAAAATACATTCCCCTCCCTTCCAAACCCTTTATAAAAAAAACACACTGAGGCCAATTCATTTTGTTGATTTGCATAGGCATAACATAGTTGGGTTGCAAAACTCCAGATGACATTAGAAGACAATTAGAGAGACAGAATTAGTAGCCCTTCTGCTGGTTAGACTTTATGCTTGTTATTGTACAATGTCATTCAGGTTTTGTTTTAATTTTCTTTGTATTTTATTTATTTATTTATCAGTAGGTTGCATTGACTGTCATGTTTAGTGCAAAAGTTGGATATAAATCTAATGAAAGAAACAAGAAAAAAATTACCACTATTTCATATGGTTGCAGGATTTTCATAAAGTGGTCTCTCCTCTTGCTGTTCAGAGCTTTTCAACTCTTTTTAACTCTTAATTCTTTTTAACTCTCTTTTTTTAAAATCTTTCTAGCCTTTGCATCAAACTAAATGCTACAGTTCATGCTACAAATTCAAAATACGTTAAGATAGTAATTCTCTATATTCAATAACGTTTGTAAGAATGATAACTATGCTGCTTTCTGGAATATATAAAATATATAAGAACCATCAAGAATGCTTATGACCCCTTAGCATAATTTCTGAGGGTAAACCTATATTATTATTTTTAATAACATATCAATTAATTTAAACTCCCAAAGAAGCCAGCTAGTGAAACAAATAGGTCTAGCTTTGAAATTTTGTTACAAGTGCACCTGGATTGCTCTTATGCCTTGTATAGCAGACTATTGGACCATTGAGAAGAGAAACAGTAGACTTGGCCTTTTTTGAAGCTAATAATGGACTAAGTGATAGTCCAGGTTTCCAGAACACCTGGTTTATAATTAAAAATATTTAACACAGAGGCTTCAGATGAAAGTCTGTAAGAACTGTAATACCCACAGTACACGGTTCCTTCCTGTAAGCAACAAAGCATAGAGGAATAAAGCTCTGCTACACATTAGGAGTCTCTGGCTTGAAAATTAATGAATGCAGCCTCGTTTCAACATTGTTCAAGCCCTAACCCTCCTCTCTGCCGATGCTCTATTGTTACAACATCAAAGACCAACTGCTGGCTCAGATATAGTCAATATGAAAAGAGCAGAAGGCCCCTTAAATTTACTGCTTGACTGCATTCTCTTTAAACGGATGGCACCCCGGTCCTTTTTCAAAGGAGGTATCCCAGACATAGATCATCTTTATAGGACATCATGTACAATAAAATAAAGCTATAACTTTACAAAATGCAAAAAAAAACAAAAAAAGAAAAACCACCCAACAACCCAACCCAACAACAAACAATGTGAAGCACCTTT